GGTCTTAAAATAATTGAGAAGAATTTGCTACCTTTCTATAACATCAAGAAATGGTTAGATATTCTAGTCTTCTCGGATAGGGACGAATAAATGGAGGTCCCGTCTCCTGCAGGGTTGGGGTAGGAGACGTTAATTTCCCACACACGAGATTACTGTGTGATGGATGTCCTCCCCTGGGGTTGTATGGGTGGGTACAAAAAGGGTTAGGTGTCAATTGGGACGAAAGTTCTGTTCCTTTCTCCTGCCATTCCCGTGGCGAATGAATTAAATTCTAAATTAAATTCTAAAATATGAGATAGCTCGTTTGATATAGTAGCTTTCGCTTGATATTTCTCGATAGAAGGTTTACTCGTTAATTGATCTCTCGTAAAGTTCGCGGACCGACTCGTTCCCAAAACGCTCCACAATTTTTAGTGTGGGTCTACTGATAACGATGTGTGACTTTCTGTGTATACTGAGCGTAATAGCCATCGAATTTATTTCTCGTACATCAGTCCACGAAAGCAGCCATTGCTTTGCCATGCGTTTTAGAGTTCATTCTACGCATGCGCATACACTTCACGCATGCGCCGTTGTGGAACTGCGTTTTGTGAACACTTGACTCTGATGATGACTTCTGCACACGTTGTCGAAACGTCAGTCACTACCACCGACGACAGTCCTCAGGACTACACTCACCCGGACGATCAGACTACACCTTCATAACATAACAATGAACGAAAGAAAAAAAAAAGCTTATCGCTCGAAACATACGAAACGTCAAGTAAAGTTTACTAATCTTATTTTCCAACATGCGTTTTACTGTCATGTTTGTAACTGCAGTTTGTGTGCTATTTCTTATCAAGCTACGATGGCCAAAGAGAAAGAATTTTTATGATACAAGTAGACCATGTTATTCGTGACCGGCAACGATGAAATTGCGCGACGACAGTAACAATGGTAATTGTTAATTGATAATTCCAGATGTGCCATATTGAAAGCCCGAGTTCACGCAGCTATGCGTCTAGTTTAATTTGTACCTACTCATAGGCGGACAGCTGTTTGAAAGATTTGCCCCTTAAGTCTCCATTTATCATTCGCCACATCCATTAAGCGTCAGTTTTTTGTTGAAAAAGTACAGCAGTTCAATATTGAGGATTAATTTCCATTACAAAAAAACTACTGGTGCTTTTAACACAAAACACGTGGCCCATGGCCGTCAGGGTGCGAGGTCGAGAAGGAAACCTCCATATATAAACAAGAGATGATATAATCTCTTGTCCAAAAGTAAATCAACAAAAGTACAAAAAATTAAATAATCACTCGTAGATCGGTTACTTCTACGAGCCTGAAAATCTAAAAAGTTTTCAAAAAGATCACCTTGAAATTTGAATTTCAAACGAAGTCTGAAGTCAAATGTTCACCTGTTCCGAAAACAGTTACTAAAATAGAAGGCGCTGATCCAATGAAAAATAACATCTGTGTACTTTGCTTTAAACACCTAGATATTTTTTTTAGTCTGCCCTCGCTATTTACTTCAAAATGTATGTGGTCAGACGAGCTTCATACGAAAACGAAGTAGACCAACCTCGTGGACTGCTTCAAGGCATCCTAATTAATTCCCCAAGAAATTGTAAAAATGGATCGACACGCTTGGATATCTTAAAATATGGTATTACTAGTTTCTTCTGAAGACGATTTTCCTCTTCGTTCATCATTTCTCAAACACAAAAGCAGCCACATATGTTTAAAGATTTATCCTGTGCGGATCAATTTAAGGGTTTATACTTTTCATCGGCGCTATTTTTTTTTGCTTTTTAGAGAGGAGATAGCACGTGGATGTTGTTCGTATTTTACTTGTTTAAAAACTATACTTGAAATGAAGAGTGAATATCTAGAGACGACAAATTTTAATCACTGTTCACGAATCGGTTTTATTTGTTAGACATTCATACGGCATTTAAATTACAGTCATCTACTGTCAAATTATTTAAGCGCATCAGTCTTGTTTTATCTTTTAACGTCAATCACAAATATATTTTAAGCTGTACGCCTAATCACTTCGAAGCGCTGTTTGGCGATCACCACGGTGAACGCTAAACTAAACAGGAAACTGAAAACTATAACGAAAGGTGTTCAGACAGATACTGGTGGTCAGGCCCATGTTTCAAAAGAAAAAAGCCGAATCACGGCATTCGTAGTTCTTCATGGTCACCTGCCCTTTAAATTTGAGCCTTAATCATGTTTAAATTATTGGAACTCCACTATTGCTAAATCTGACTGAAGGTAAGCCTGAGCTTGAAAACTCACTGTTTTCGGTGCATTTGATATTATCGTAATAAAACTGATTACTTCCTACGAAATTCGAAATGATACGACGATTGAATATTAAGGCGAGGACTTTCTAGCCAACATCAACAGACCACTCCCTCGGAAAAGTATTCTTAATTTTTAAACGACGATTTAATAGAACATGCGCCACAAACTATATGAACAAACACACCCTTGGATCCTAGATCATTTCCATGGCTGAGTGAGTTATGGCTTCAACTGTAGATTTCATTAAATTGCTGGTCGTGGCTACTACAAAAGGAGCATAGAATGCTGTCTGTTTGTCACTTAATTTGAAATATTACGTTGGTGCTAATGAATTTTCTTAGCCTTTGCCAGTTTTGCAATGTTTAGAGTATGCCGAAGGGTTCTGTAGTTTCAGCGATAAATCATCTGTTTCGCTTACTGTTCGCAGTTATTCTGATCAGAATGATTCTGATCTTGGCCATTTGCTCGATACGTGAACTTGGTTTACCTAGATGAGTGATGAGAGTGTATCGTGAGCATCGATCGGTATCACAAAATTTTAATAACAGTCGCTTCGGGCACGCAAATTAATCGTCAAACGTGGGTTGCTTGGGTCGGTTGCTTGTGATTCCGGAAAGTCCGGAAAATTCTAAGCAGATTCCATTCTCAAACATAGGGTTATCAAAAATAACTGCTTCTCGAAGCTTACATGCACAAAATTCCATAATTGTTGTTTCTCTTTTATGTTTCGTTTACCAATTCAATCACGACTATTAAAACTTCATGTTTCTATTTTTTTAGAGAAAATCCTTACCGTCGCAATCTGAACAAGCTATTCCATCTACCAAGTTGAACATCTTTGAAACAAATCGGCATCGAAGAAGCTGGGAGCCAGATTCTGTGAACAAGGAATAGAGCCAAGGTAACTCACTTTTTTCTTGGAGCCTGTCGCCAACAACTTCGAGGCTTCTTTCTGTTGCTCCTCGATAACCAATTGCGAGAAAACCGAATGAGTTTGACTTGTCGGCGTAAGCGCCTTGAGAATTGTAAATGCCATAGCTTTCACAGACTGATTTAATTTGCCGTTTTATTAGATTTTGCCACTTTTTCTTGGAGTTGATTTTAAGAAAACGGACATGACCTTTTTTACATGATATTTCACCAATCTGTTAACAAATAATCAAAATGGAAACCTGCTTCTAGTGTTTGTTCTAGTACTAGCTACTGCCTAAATTCCAGTACATATACTGAAGCTTTGAAAGTGAAGTTCACGAGGGAATTATTTCGCAAAAGCTTCCACTCTTTCGTAATGGCTCACTATGTCCAAAACTTGTTCGACATTTCTCGAATGAAAAATTTTCAGTACAATCATCATACTGAATAAATATTGAGACAACATTCGTTCATGAAAGCATAAATAGGCCAGAACGCGTTTGCTCCAGATGGTTCCTGAAAATTGTTTGATTCTATTTTTATTTTCCATACATTTCAAGATATAATAAAAATATATCAAGAATAGACTAGCCAACATATGTCTGTCTCAACATAGCAGATATGAAACTTCAGTGTTTTCTTCGAAACCCGAACAGTATCAGCTACTGAGCCTTCCTAAAAGCTGGGCATACAATTTCTTATGCGCTGTTTGTGATTGAGCTCTCGCCATGGCCAATGACGGGAGCCCAAGTGTCGACCAGAGGAAGTGTTTTGTCACAGTTTGAGGTTTTCGTTAACAGGCTGTAAGGGAAGAAACATATTACAGTCGAACCTCGATTATCCGGACCACTGGGGACTGGCCCGAATAGTCCGGATAATCGAGAGTCCGAGAATACATATTTGTAAACCGTAACATTTAGTCGAGAATCCCGTAGGAATGAACCACAATCACAAGCCATTTCTAACTGCAATTTACTACTGTGCGTGTTAGGCGCGTTTAAGATCACTTGGGCAATACCCTTGCCCAAAATTGTCTTTTGATGCGAAACAAATTCAGTTCTGACTGGAATTTTATAACTCAGTTCGGCGTATGATAGCTTTCCGACGGATAATGAATGTGACTAATTAATATTCATGAAAATGGGGACCAGAAAACCTAGCGAGAAATCCGGATTGCGCGCATGCAGGCAAGTGAAGACTCGCGCAAGAAAAATGTCAAAATATCTCTTTGCTAGTGCATATTTGCACTCGGTTGCACCCTAGGTTATCTAATCTTTGTAAATTTTTTCCATTGACGTATCTTCATATTGTCGCTCAGTTAGTACATGCACTATGATTGGTCAATTTAGCTGGCGGTATTTTCACGATGCGGCCCACTCATATTCGAGAGCGTGTGCAATAAATCCGAGAGCGGAAAAAAAAAAAATCCGAGAGGAAAAAACTCGATCCATAGACTATACTAAGTACCGAGAAACGAAGTCTATCAAACTGGTCACTACAGAAGTGATACCGTCGTCCACTTTTGTACCAAGGACTCATATTATAACCATCAGTGGATGAATGCTTTCTTTATATGCTGCAGTGGGTGCAAAGTGGAAGGGTGCACGCTAAAGGAAAGATTTCCTCTTTTTCTCGCTTGCTTCCTCCTTTGGCGCCATACCTCGCAAAGAGGAACATTTTGTTGATTACCTTATTATAGGAATATAACGAAGCATGTCAATAACGCGAACAAAATTTAAGCGTCATAAAATTAACGCGAATTTTCCAAAAGTTATGTTTACATACATTTA